TGTGAGTTATTACTAAAGCAAGGGCTATGCTCTCCATCCCGCCATTGTTAGTCAGAATTTAGAATCTTGCTCGACCTCTTACAGAGGTAAAAATTCACCCTTAGTGGGAGCAGCTGTGACTCTGTGAAAGAAGCTACAAATAACATGCTGGGAAATTCAGCAGGCACTGTTATTATATCCTGTTTATACTGTCATTTTTCCTATCAGTAGGATATTATTTATACAGACCCCACCCATGAACTTCTTGTTTATCTTATTATAGAAATCCTCCAAATCTATAAAAAGAAGCCTCTGTATTAGTTTTTGGAACAAGCACATGTGTTATAATTTGGCACCTCACTACACTTTTTTTATTTAGCATTCTCTTTTGCTATGCCCTACTCATTCTAATTTTTTTTTTTTGTTTCACTTTTATTTTTTTTTTTATTTTATTTTATTTTTTTTTTTACAAATAGTTTATTGTCAAATTAGTTTCTACATAACACTCAGTGCTCATCCCCAAAGTGCCCTCCTTCATGCCCATCCCCCCCTCCCCCCCACATCCATCAGTCCTCAGTTTTTGTCAGCATTCAAGAGTCTCTCATGGTTTGCCTCTCATTCTAATTTTTATCTGAAGGTTGATTTATTTCATTATTTCACATATTAAAGTTGTTGAACTTAACTTTCTAAACACTCCATAATAGGACAGAGACCCTGGGGCTCCACATCTTAAACTTTATTTTGAAGTAGATTTCATCAGGTAAAGAGATTCTTCTAATATACATTATACTAATTTGTTTAAAGACAAAAAAGTACCTATATACAGAGATTAGGTACCCCTACTGAGTGAGTCCTACATGCCTAGAAGGCTTCCTTATGTAGGCTACTCTATCCCAGGTATGCCAATTATGATGGACAAGCTTTCAATGGATTCTCACTAACTCACTCTTCTTTAGTTGGATCTCTTTCCTAGAATGGAAAGCCCTGCCTCTGAGTCTAGTTTGATGGCTGGATGGGCCAGGTGAAAATGTAACACAGTAATACATGAGAAATACATGAGTTCACTAAGTTGACCAATGGGACAATGAAGCAATCTTGTTATAAATCATCTTCACTCTCCTACCTTATGTAAATAACTAAATTCAAGCAGCTAAAAGAAAGATGTAAATTCCTTAGGGCCAGAAATTCACGCAGCATTTGTTGAACTAATAATTATTTTGAGAGGGGACATCACTGGACAAAGTCAATACTGGATAAACTTTCATATGTTCAGCTTGTGCCAGCTTCACTAAAACTCCCTTTACCTTATAAGATAGAGCACTACAAAGCAGCTAGATTTCATGAAATCTTCAGAAAGCATGTACAACGAACGCTAGACTCTTTGGGAATGTGCAAGAATGATCACTGATTTTTTTAAAAAATTGTTTATTTATTTTTGACAGAGGGAGCAAGCATGATCAGGACAGGGGCAGAGAGAAAAGGAGACAGAGGATCCAAAGCAGCAGGCTCCGCACTGACAGCAGCAAGCTCCATGCAGGCAGGGCTTGAATTCATGAACCATGAGATCATGACCCAAGCCGAAGTCAGATGTTCTACAGACTGAGCCACCCACGTGCCCTGAAAGAGCACTGCTTTTAAAGAAGTTTATTCTAAAATGCATAACTGAAATGAGGCACAGTACCTAAGGCTGGTGAACTTAGTGTAACTGATTTCATTAAAAAAAAAGAAAAAGATGTCTAGGAGTACCTGGGTAGAGCTCAGTTCATTGAGCAGAGCGTCTGACTCCTGATTTCAGCTCAGGTCATGATCTCATGGTTCGTGGGATTGAGCCCCATATCAGGCTCTGAGTCGACAATGAAGAACCTGCTTACTCTGCCCCACTCCCACCTCAAAAGTATTTACTTATTTAAGTAAACATTAAAAAAAAAAAAAAAAGGTCTACATGTGCTAAAGTGATCAAAGAAGCCAGAATGAGGATAATCATTGAAGTAAAAAAAATTTTTTTTAAGTTTTTTTATTTTGAGAAAGAGAGAGAACAGAAGGAGAGGGAGAGGGAGAATCCCAAGCAGGCTCTGCACCATCAGCACTGGGCCTGATGTGAGGCTTGAACCCACAAATTGTGAGATCATGACTTGAGGTGAAATCAAGATCTGTATGCTTAACCAACTGAGACACCCAGGCACCCCAAGGTAATCTTTATATACAGAACTTCATAAGGCTGAGATGTGAAGGAGAAAAGCATACTAAGCACAAACAATGATTTGTAAGCATCTAAATGAGGAGAATTCTGAAAATGGTGAGTACCTAAATTTAGCTAGGGAGAATACTGAATAAAAGATGGCAATAAAAAGAAGGCTGGAGTCAGACTATAAGGAGTTTCATTTTTCAAACAATGGAGAACCACTAAAGATATGTGATTGAGAGAAAATGTGCCCAAGCTTTTGGAGTAGGAATGAAGAGGAGGCAGAATCTGTTGGATTGAAGTTGAAATAGGGTGAAAAGTTTTTAACAGTACCAAATCCTATGATTATAGAAGCAAAAGAAAGGTCATGGGATATAACAAATAATAAATGTGTAAAAATATTTTCAGAACCACAAGATGGCATTTATGAAGACTCTTACTGTGTGGGACAATGTTAAAAATATGCCAGTCCATTGAAATTAATGTCAAGAAAGCTTACCAATTTCCTAGAGTAGTACTTCTCAAACCCAAATTATTTGGGGATCTGGTTAAAATGAAAATTTTGATTCAGTAGGTTTAGGGTGGTACTTGTTTCTTTCTTTACATTTCTAACAAGCTCCAAATAATGCTGTTCCACGGACTACATTTTAAGTAGCAAGATGTTAAAACATCTTTCAGCTTCCCATTACAAAAAGGCAATACTACTATGTTTAATCCACTATGCTATAGCTATTCCTTTTAGATATTCCTAAGAAATTCCTTTAAAAGTATTTTATTGGGGTGCCTAGGTGGCTCAGGCAGTTAAGCGTCTGACTATGGTTCAGGTCAGATCTCACAGTTCGTGGGTTCGAGCCCCGCACTGGGCTCTGTGCTGACAGCTCAGAGCCTGGAGCCTGTTTTGGATTCTGTGTCTCCCTTTCTGTCTGAGTCCCAGCCCCCCACTCATGCTCTATCTCTCTCTGTCTCAAAAATAAATAAACTATATAAAATTTTTTTAAAACATAAAAGGTATTTTATTATAATTTGAATCAATGTCAGATGGATTTCAAAAGCTACAATTTTTATTTTTTTAAGTTTATTTATTTATTTTGAGAGAGAGCACATGCATGCGCACACAAGTGGGGGAAGGGCAGACAAAGTGGCAGAGAGAGAGAATCCCAAGCAGGCTCTGCACTGTCACCATAGAGCTCGATGCAGGGCTTGAACTCACAAACTATGAAATCATGACCTGAGCCAAAGTCAGACACTTTACTGACTGAGCCACCCAGATGCCCCAAAAAGTACTATTTAAAAAGTCTAAGATGACTCAAGATTCAGGGTAGTCAAGATCCTCAAAAATATTTTCACCTGGAAAAAAAAATCAAGTCTATAATACTGTTCTATAATACTACATTTTTATTTATTTTTTTTGTAGGCTGGCAAACTAGAAGATACTATTGTTTCTAATATTTCAGGGCAAAATAAATGTCCTGAAAAGGCAACACTCTGTCTTTTCACAGTGCCTATCAGTGGGTTTTGGTAAAACCCACTTAACTTGACCTTACAATGCCCTTAGCATATTCCTTAATCCTTGAAGATACAGGTAAAAATGCATTTTCAAGATTGTATTGAAAAGGACAAAAATTAAATTTGTACATCATCCTTCTATTTAAGATTTATATTTGGAAGGATATGCCTTTAATTAGAATCTTTTACCATGAATACAGGCATCATTTATAAAACTATATTACTCGTGTTATGCATTATATACACATATGTATTAAGATTGGTTGATTCTTGGGATGAAATTTAAGATTTCTATTAGATTCTTGGGGTGAAATTTAAGACTTCTGAAATCTCAAGTTTCATTTTTAACCATATTGATGGTCAATAACAACCTTTTAGGTAAATTAGCTTTAATAAATATCGATGTCTAGAGAACAGAAATGGGATGTTAAAACTGGAAGATATGTGATTAGATCCAGCTATTTCATTATATAGGTAAAAATCTGAGGTGCAGAGGCTAAAAAGCCCAAAGTCACAAAGCTGCTAATGGCATGTCAAAAAAGGAGGGGAGGAGGAAAAAACTAATTTTCAAATCCATTTAATGTACAACATACAACAATGTACCAACTACAAATGTAGTTATAAGAGTTTCTAGTTCCTCTAATGATCAAGGCATAGTTGAGTTTATATAAGGTCTTATAAATCACTAATATCTAAGAAAGAAAGAATACATACCAACAAAGACGACAAGCTACCCCCAAATTTAAGAACTCCATAAAAAACGCAATGTGAATAGAGAATGACACATATACACCACATACTTGAAATGGGGCTGCGGTGGGGTGGGTAATGGGATGGGATATAAAAAACAAAGAGAAGACAATGATAACTTTTATCTTCTCAGTAACGGTTTGAGGAGAGCTTTTACATATGGGAAAGGGGTTGAAAAAAACTTCCTTTACTCTCATGGATAACTTTTTAATTGGTAAAATCAAGAATCAGGAGGACTGCAAAGATTTTAAAAATATGAAATGTAGATAGCAGTTGGATGTGCATGTGTCATAAGCTCTGTCACAGTTACAAAAAAACCAGAGAACCCTTTTTTAGCCATAAAATGGGGAATTTTGTGCTTATCACAAATGCTATAAAATTTACTAGCACCAGTAAAAAAAAAAAATCACTGGAGAAGTTCCATGATATCAGAGACAATGGGTTTTAAATCATAGGCATACATTATTATGCCTAAGTTGACAGGTCTGCACTGCAATGCAGAAATGCAAGCAATATTCCAACATCTGCACTAGAAGGCAGAGACTAGACATGATTCCAGAATAAAGGGCTCTTTAGCTCTTACCTGTTACCTGTGCAACAACTGCTTGGGAAATCCTCCGATTGGCAAGAAAGGCTTTGATTTCCTCTTTTATCACACTGCTGTCCCTCCTAACAAAAACAGAAGACAAGACCAACAATGTATGTTGAAGGTAGAAATCCTCATCTTTGCTAAGAAAGGTGAAGCAGAGAGGTGGGGAGAACACAGAAAGAAAGGACACAAAAATAAAGGTAAACAGACCAAGCTTGTATGAAAATATGAAATTAAAACAAACCAAGAAACACCAAATATTCAAGTCCTAAAACATCACACCATCAGACAGACGCTTCAGTGAGTGCCACGGTAGATATAAGTCTCATACCAGAGGATGGTTAATCGCATGCTGTGTATAATTCACATTAGGAACAAGGCTGCCATATGGTATATACTAAGTTTCATTACTGAGGAATGAGTATACCTTACACAGACAGAAATCCTATAAAAATAAAAAGCAATAACAACAAAAAAAAATCAGTTGTGAGTAGACTGTGGGCTCGCATGTGAACTATGTAACTGCATAAATAATGTTCATTTTAAAACCTTTTTGTTAAAGGAACAGAAATCATCATTCTTATAACTGCTAAAAATATTAGCCATTTTGAGAAATTTAATTTGCCTTCTATTTCCTGTGTAAACCAAAAAAAATTTAAGTGGGATGAAATGAATATAGAATTTTAATATAAAAAGCAATCATTAATTTTCTATTATATATAATATACAGAATACTTAAAACTATATTGTGTCCTTGAGATTACATATTATAGGCCTAATTTCTCCTCTACTAAGACAACAACATATTCTCAAAAGACTAGACATTTACTAGAATAACAATGAAAGGCAAGATTTCTATGTCTCCACCACAACAAATACTTTAGTAAAACTTATACTTAAACCCTTAAAACCAACCAATTTCTCTTTGCTTCATATTCAAAAGGATTACATAAATAAAGCACTGATTTTTGATCAAGCTCAAATGAAACACAGAAAAGTGGTAATTTTTAATCTCATACAGGGTCAGCAAACTATGACTAAATCTGGCCTCCCATCTGTTTTTATACAACCTATAAGAGCTAAGTAAGAATGTTTTCACACTTGGCAGTCATTATTTGATGACAGAGAACACTAACTCTGAACATGAATTAAGCAAAGTATCTCCTCCTCAACAAAAATCTCATTCTTCTATTGGTAGGCCTATGATTTAAAACTATATTCAATATTGAATTTTGTCAATAAAAATCTGTGACCTTTTTGTTTTCTCTTAGATGTAAATATTAAGTATGTGTCTTATATCCTCTATTTTGCCTCTCAGCCACAAACTGTAAAATGTTTACCATCTACTCTTTTCCAGAAAAAGTCAGCTGAACCCTGATCTGAGAAAAAGGGATCATGACATCTTTACAGATCATATTGTAAATGAACCACAAACTTCCAAACTTTTTATAGGAGCCCAAGACTCTCTAAAGATTATTCCGAGCAACAAAAGCAAAGATCCTAGCCAAAAATAATCAGTTGTGATTTAACTTAGAACAGATATTTTAGCCCTTTGGTGAAGAGGGGCTATACACTGTGTGAGTGGAATCCAATGTTCCCTTTCAGGAATTCTGGAGCAGAGAAGTTAATAGTAGGGACAAGCTTTCAATCTGAAGTTCTACTGTATATTCCTGATCTACTGGTTAGAAATCCTAGTCAAAAAGATTCCTAAAGAAAGAAAATTGGGGCGCCTGGGTGGCTCAGTTGGTTAAGCGTCCGACTTTGGCTCAGGTCATGATCTCATGGTTTGTGGGTTTGAGCCCCGCATCGGGCTCTGTGCTGACAGCTAGCTCAGAGTCTGGAGCCTGCTTCTGATTCTGTGTCTCCCTCTCTCTCTGACCTTCTCTTGCTCACACTGTGTCTCTCTCTCTCTCAGAAATAAATAAAAACATTAAAAAAGAAAGAAAGAAAATAGCCGCCTAATCCAATACTTAAAATTTCTCATACTCCTCTAGATTCCTATCTAGATACCAGCTAGATTCCCTCCAAAATGCTTATTCATATCAGAAGTTATTTCTTTGGAAAACATGCATTCTCCTTTGATTTAAAAACTATGTATCTGAAAGAAAAAAGCACAATACATTTAAATATATTTTAAAGTCAAATAAAATAAACTGCTCTGTATAATACAGGTAGTATAGGCCAAACGGCTCTCAAAATCCACTAATAAATAGCTGCACAAGGGACAATTTCAGCGGTGTGAATTTGCCTTATGTAAATAAAACAACCAAATCATTTCATTTCTGATACAGCTTCAAAATCAATCTGAAAAATTTAAATAAAGTGCTGCATTGCAATGTATAGAATATCCTTCTAGGAAAGTGAAAAGTGAGTTTAACAGAATATTTATTAAGGTTAAATATAAAACATGCTTTTGGGGGGAAATGATTAAATGGTATTTTCTTGAATACTGATATAAATTGGAATTTAAATCAATTTATTTTAAATCAAATTCACCTAGAGTAGATACTAAATCATAAAGAGGAGATAACACTCAATTATTCCAATAGGAAATATCCAGTTTGTGAATTATTGACAGCCTTGCAGTATGATATTATCAAGGACTGCAGCAAGACACAAAGAACTTCAAAACGTCTGCAAAACAGAAGCAATTCACTTAACCTCTCACAGACTTTATTTTTAGATACTTGGTTAGTTTTAAGTACCAAGTTAAAGTAAGTTAAAAAAATAACTAAACCTCTTTGGTTAACTGCTTTACCAGAGAGAAGCTTTTTCAAACTGAAGGAAAACTTAAGACTTAAAAGATAAAGATAGGCTTGGGCAAGTCATTTAATAAAGTTGGACCCCGATTTCATCATTTGGTAAAATGAGAACACTAATACCCTCATCACAAGGCTTTTTAAAAATTTTCTCCAAGCATGAAAATTAAATTTACATAAACTGTAGTATTAAATGTACGTATATGTGTGTGTGTGCATAATCTACACAATAAATTCTTCAATGAAAAATTTTTTGAAACTGTAAGACCATTAGATAAACAATGACTATTATTTTATAAATCCCCAGAAAGAATCCCAATAAAGAAGAAACAAAGGCTCTACTATAATTACCTACGACTGAAGTAAACATCAATATCAGGTACTTTAAGGTACCATGTAAAGATTTAGACACAAGCAGTGACGTGTTTAGTTGGTTACACTAGGTACTGGTATCTCCTGCTTTCTGAAGGTTCACATTATGCCACACTTTTATAAAAGAGCTACATTAGTATGGTAATAGCATTTTTTGGTAAAAGTAAAACTCTCCTTCGGATTTGGGTCAGTGAAAATAGGTACTAATGTGGGTCCTTCCTAAAAGTGAAGTGGTATAACTCAAGCTTTCAGATGGGGGAGTACCTGTATTTTCAAAATAGTAATAGCATTCAACTTTCACGGTGTCCAGTTCTCTTATGTATTTCAAAGACCTCCATTCTATAGGGTTAACTATGTTCTTTACACTTTCACATATTCCCCCTCATTCAGTCTTCTTTAACAACAAGCCTCTCTGACTGTCCACATTGTAACTCTGAAATCACCAGTTTCTTGGTGTGAAAATTCTTTTGTTTACTCCAAATCTAATTTTCTTATACTCTTCTACAGCTTACATTCTGTCTTTATTTGAAAATTTTCCATCCTCTTTAAAAAGAATGAATCCCTTTTTCTTCACTTCCCTTTTTTAAAAAGAGAACCTATATTTTTCAAGTTTTTATTTTAATCACCAAGTGCTTATTATGATTTGCTTCTCTTATAAAATCTCACATTCCTCATGATTTGTACTCCTCAAGTCTTATGAAATTAAAGTGAAACACAAGCTGATTCCATGGCTTACTTCCAAGATAACCTACCACTCTGTTTGCATCAAACCACTTAAAATCCATGTCATCTCCTCCTACTACCTTTTTCAAATCACCACCATGATGAATTCATCTATCTGGGTGATTTCCACATGAAGATAAAATTCTTCCTTTCCACCCTCCACTGCTGTTATTTTTATTACTTGCTAAACTTTCCATTGTTACCTACAGACCTTTGTTAATATCCAAATTAATTACTCAGTAATGCCTCTTTGTAGAATCGTTTCTTTAAGACACAATTTAATTGTCATCTATTCAGAGAAGTTCTCCCTGATACAGCTAAAAAAAGATCTCTATCTTCCAACAACTAACTTTATCATTTCAATTATACTACTCACCTGCTAACATATTACATGGTATTCTATATTACAGCTGTTCCCCTGATCTGGTCTTATCGCTCCTACTAGCCTGGGAAGTCTTTTAGCACAAAGATTGTGTCTTATTCATCATAGGGTTTGCATATAATAGGGCTTAATTTGTTCAGTGAATGAAGAAATCTGTAGTTGAAGATAAAAGGTTGTAGAATGGCTAACTAGATCTAGATAATTTATAAAACAGCTCTAAATTCCTAATCTCAAGTATGTTTAAGCTTCTTAAATCAGAATGGAAAAAGAGTTATTTATGCTAGCTCAAAATGGCAATACTTTCATTTCTGGAACAAAGGTTATTAAAGACTACGTTTTTAAAAGCTGTATGCCTTATGATCTTCTGCATTCTCTCAGGTGATATACACTACAGATTCTTTAGGACTCCTTAAAGTTAGCCATCTATCTCAAAGACTTCCAGAGATGAAGCAATACCTACAAAGACAGTCTATTTCACAGGTGAGAAAATATTATTACATACAAATTCTTTAACTTTTAAATAAAAACCTGCTGCCTTTAATTTCTACTCATGGAGATAAACAAAGCATAATTTAAAATTTTTAAAGATAATTTTAAAAGAAAAGATACTCTATATGTATAAACAATATGGTAACTGAATTTGGAAAAGAAATACCCTAAATCAACTATTGTTAGGCATAAAGATAACCACTCAGAAAAAAGTCTTAGATCTTGTATAAAATATTAACACAGTTTGTATAAAATACTAACATTTAAGTACATGGGTAGGTAAGCATAACACCTTTAATATATGGCATTGTTTATGAATTCTTCCTAAGCCTCATTTTAATTGTTATTTTATAATATATACATGAAAGAACAGATGCACTTTAATAGATATACACTATAGTATTAATAGATTTATATATACACCAATATATAAATATGTGTGTTAATAGATACATTTAAAAAGTATTAACATATGAAATGGGTTTTCATTCTAGCTCTTGGCTTTGAAGTTCTTCCTAAAATGTGTTCTATAATGTGTTAAGAACTCACATTCTACTTTCTTTCTTTTTTTACCCTGATCAATTAAAAAATGGGAAAAGTTACTTTCTGATTCTTTCTTAACAAGTTGATCAAGTATACAATTATAACCTAATTTCTATAAAAAATTTTCCTGGTATATCCTGACATTATTAGGTATTAAGTCTATGAACCAGTGGGTTATGTAATTTGAAAAATATTTATCTTATGGTTGAGTGCTGTAGAGGCAGTGAAATGTGAGCATGCAAGTTGTGAATTATATATATCTAGAAAAGGAGAGAGAAAAGCATTCAGGTACCCATTCTCTCTACTTACAGCCCCCCAAATCTAATCCACTATAGCATCACCATAGTATTTAGTGATTAGTGAGGACAGTATAGCCCTATGTGGGCACAGAATACTGAAAGATCCACCGCTCAAAAATTTCTCTAACACTCTACCAAATAAAAATTCATCTGGTTAGTAAATGGTCTGGAGTGGCAAATACCATGTAGGGGGTGGCAAATGTCATGTAGGGGGTAAGGGAGGGAGGAACAGCCCATTAAGGCGTTCACAATTTTGTTTTGTGTTATATCTACCACTGTTCTTAAAATATTACTGAAATCTACAGACATGAAAATTTTATTTACAGAGGCAACATATACCAAAGACATGGCAATAAAGACATGGGTCACAATTCAGGCTCTGCCACTTAATATTTAGGTTTTCTTGGGCTCGTTATTTAAATTTTGTGAATCTCAATTTTTCTGCTCCACCTCACACACAGCACTGTTATGATGTTTAAAAGGTTGAGAATAGTCATGCAATAAACTTCTCCCTCTGATCTAAGGATTGTTATTATGTGCAAGCTTGAGAAAAATAAGAGGTGGGAACAAAGGAGTGCCAGTGAGAACACAATGGCAGAGGACCACAGAGAGCCAGAAGGTTCAGTGAGACCCCCTAGATGATTAGAGAATGAAAGTAGTAGTTCAAAGAAGCAGAGAATAGAGTAAAGTAACCTAACTATGCAACAAGTGGCAGTTTGTAAAATAAATGGTGGTAACAGTGCATAAACATGTATACATTTAATGATGAAACCTGAATGCGCATTTATGGTGGGATTTAACTACAAATCCTAGTCATTGCTAAGTAGGTTTTCTGTTTAGTTTTGAAAACATAGTTGTATTACAACAAAATGCCAATCTAAGAGTTAATAATGGAGTTTTTAGAACCTTGTAGTCAAGTTTTAGATCTTGGTCAATATCCCAGAGTCCTCTGTTAACAAGAAAGTTTCCCTTAATTTCATGGCAGTCAAATACACATTTGGGAATTAACTATTATACGTTAAAAGCTTGTTAAAACTGGTTAATGACAACAACAACAAAAAACAAGTAGCATATAAATTTTACTATTGATATCCTCTCTACTCGGGATAATTAAAAGCTAACCTTGTCATATTTCAATGACTTAAGTAACTTCTATTTGCCCAAATGGTTTTCTCTCAATCATGACAATGATATACATATTAAAATCAAAAGAACACCTAAACTGTGGCTAGCTACTTTAATAAATAAAAACAAATTCAAAGCCAAATAGACCTCTTATATTTTTAAGTTTTAAACATTTAAATAACAGGGTCCCATGGCTGCTCTATGAAACTATTCATTACAGGAATTACACTGGAATCTAGATGCAATAGCCCTTTAGCTCACAATTCCATATAAGGCAGTGTTACCCTAAAAACAAATCTGGACTATTTGTTTAAAAGGTATTTTACCTTCTGTAGTACCACAGAATAGATCTTCCATATGGCAATATTAAGTTACCATTACATATCTTCAAGTCTTTAGGAAGAACTATAACTCATATGTTTTAATTTTATTTCTGACAAATGTATGCTATAGATTCTTTCATTATCTATTATAACTACCTACAGGCTCTCCTCCCTACTACAGTAGTGATGATCTATTGAAAACAATGCTTTTATCATGTCTATTCCCACAGACCTGTAAAAAAAGCCTAATTCCAGTCAAATTAAACATAAAATACTTGTGTGGAACTCAAATCTTCCAAAACCTATACTGAGTCGTAATATAATATTCTTATTACGATAGTCTAGCCCATGCAAACTTCAGAAGACTAAACATGTCTTGCCTTTTCTACCTTTTACTATTTCTTTAACTTTAAATAAAGTTCCTATATTTCAAAACAAAGGCTATCCTTTTAGATTTAGCTCAAATTCACCCATTCATGTAACATATTAAACCCTTACTTCGTGTGAAGGACAATCAATTCTAGATCTTGGAAACATAACATTCGAAAACACATGGTTACTGTCCTCAAAGTGTTCTAGGTCCAGTGTGAAGTCTTTCCTAATCACCTCTGTTGAAAGTGGACTTCTCTGTTTCTCAGTGTTTAAAACAACAAAGGCTTATACTTCCCTTGAATAGATAACATGAATATATATATATATGGCTATGGCATCTCTTAAATGAGAACTTTAGTTTTTTAGGGGTAGAAACCACGTCTGTTTTTCTTCCAAATAATACTTTTTATATAATAGGTCCTCAAAATTCTTCCGTTGTGGTATTAAGAGTGTATACATTTTGTATCATAAAATCATTTCTCTCAAAAACTCTTAAGGATTAAAAAAAAATTTTAAGGATCACAATGTGACTATTAAAAATTCAGAAAATACAGATGTTACCAATTAGAACTACAAAGAGAAGGCTAATTTCTGCTTTGGTAAAGAGAACAGAAAAGGTTTATCAAGCAGCAAAGAGAAAGGGCTAAGGTAAAGAAGACAAAATTTGAATTATAATCATAAAATTTGAAAATTTTTTCTCTCAGCTCCAAGAAGAAGAGGGAAAAATCACAGTTCTTACAGGTAAGTAGCTGAAATACAGTATATTACTCAAAACCAATCTAAGAACACAGACATTCTGGGGACTCTGAGTAAGCAAAATAACTAACCTCATTAACTCCTCCACTTTATCATCTACATCTAGGTCCTCTTCTGAGGCTTCAAAACTGTATGACCTCTGACCCATGCTGTTTGCATGGTAGCGAGTGGGTGACATCTTTCCATTGGATGTAGATAATCGCTCGTTATTCTCCCTCCCATTTTGATTGGTAGTGCAAGGCTGTGGGGAGGTATCATAACTGTTGCTAGGTGATGGGGACATTCCAGAATGCTGGGTCTGTGTGGAAGCTGTAGCTGTAGAGGAAGATGCTGGAACATTGTTGGTACTATTCCCATAAGAACTTCCTCCATAGCTGGACCTTCTTCCAAACTTGTCACTATGCTCTTGATCAAGACGGTCCAATGTTTCCAAGGCATGGAGAATTTCATGTTTAGTCATTCCAGTACGCCGAAGGCGCTGAAGCAGATCTATCTGCTCTATGGTAAATCTGGGTTCATCTGTATAGTGAGACATGGTTTCCAGCAAACTAGGAAAAAAAAAAGTTCCTTTATTCACAATAGTACCAAAAAACGTATCATTACGGAGAATGCTCAGCAGAAGATGCAAAATATTTCTACACTTTAATGAAAATGATTAAGACATTATTATTACAGTAATTATAATAATAGTTATTATCTCTCTATGCTAAAACGTTTTTGTCATAGCAAACAGACTGGTACAGTTGCTAAGTTTATTAACAGATAGACATTATGTATAACATAAAACCCAATTTGGCATACAATTTACATTTTCTGCAATTTGGTAAATATTGAACCAAAATTTCAGCTATGGCATTAATACCAAAACAACAGATTAGATATATACACTTTTAATCCCAGCCTATCTGATTACTCACAGATGTTTTCTCCATCTCAAATTCATTACTCTACATTAGAGTATTATTAATGAAAAGTTGTTGAAAAAGGTTTGTATTGTCTTGATTTACTAAATATCAGCAAAACTAACCCAGGAACTCTATTATCTTCATTTAGTGTAAACAAACGATTTGGTAAGGTAAGCCCAGGCAAATACTAGTAACTAGCAAAAATATTTAAATGGAAAAGAGAAGTACATTAAAAATCTTATTAAGCACCTTTTCACCCACCGCTTAGCAAATCCGTTTAGTATCTCATCTCTGTAACACATTCTCTCTTAACAGTTATCCCAAGAAATGGATCGTCAGTGGTTGTAGCCAAACTATTCATTTTTCTTAGGAAATTGCTTCCACATTATATTTCCTTTACCTAACACAAGAAACTGTAGCATGCCACAAACTGTCAGAGTCGTAACAATATTAAGTTTAAGGAAATTATCAAATTTAAATATTCTTACTACTTGAATTTTTTCTTTTAAAACTTGACTTTTCTAATTGAAGATTTTTTTAAAGTGGTAATTTCTTCTAGTTTTACTTTTATAGTTCTAGTGCCAAAACAGATTCGTGGCATACAGCAGGCTCTAGATAAGTGTTTGCTAATGGAAATAAATGTCAAGGAATTTCCTCATCCTATACAGGTAAACATCTGTTCTGGGCCAGTTCTCCATAGTTGTTCAAAGTCTGTGTCTTCATCCCTCTACTGAAAATTTATTGAATGTTCACTTCTAGGCAGGCATTGGGCAAGAGTTTATATAATGAATTTCATCTAATCCTCAAAACAATCCTTTGTGGCAGAATTTTAAAGTTTTATATTGATTGGCTATTGAAAAAATGAAGGCTTAGATCAGTTCTATACCCTGCAAAAAGTCTGATTAAGAGTAGAAAAAAGATTTAAACCTAGATTTTCCTGACTCCAAAAGCATATATGATTCTGTTTTCCAGTATTTTGCAGAACTTACTAGAATCCTATGATCTGGGATATAGACTGTACTCTTTTAAAACCAGTTAAAACCACTCAGATAAAACCACTCTACTGATAGACTAGGGGTTCTAGTAAGAGGTTTTTAAAATCTTTACTCCATCTGGAATTTATAGTTACTTAGTGAGTGTGAAAAGATTTCAGCTTTACTTTTCCCCAAATGCTTCGCTGAGTAATATGTTTCTTTTCCTCTAACCTGAAATACCACCTTTCTCATAAAATTTCCACACAAATCTGTATCTTTCTTTGGATTTTCTATTCTATTCCATTGATTGTTTTGTCTTTCAAATCCTTCTAAAAATAAGTAGGCAAAAATCTAGAACTTTTATGTGAAATCACTCTAGTTTCAGAGACAGGCTAATTAAAAATAAAAACAAACATTTTATGGACCAAAACTAACATCTTATGGCCACAAATAGCCATTTGTGGGCACAGGTGAACAGTGTCCGCCTTACACCGAAACATTATCTTCTGTTTTCTTCCGATACTCACTATGACAAGCTATCCATGATAAAAGTCCTATTTCTTGATTATTGTATTGTTTCTTGATTGCCTAAGTTTTTTCCTCTAACATTTTATAATGAAAAACATTAAACATACAGAAAAATTAAAATTTACAGTGAACATCCACAAAGTAACCATCTGTATTTTACCATTAACATTTTACTTACTTTATAACCTAACTATCCATTCCCTTATGCATCCATACCTACATTCATCTTATTTTTTATACATTTCAGAACCAGTTACAGATATCTGTACACTTCCTCCTAAACACTTCCACATGCATTTCATTAACTAGAGTTCAGTATTTGTTCAGATTTTTTCTTTTGAGGTAAAATTTACATAAAAGAAAATGCATAAATCTTATGTTTACCATTTAAGAGTTTTGAGAAGTACATATGTAAAAATGAAATATGTAAAAAAAAATAAAAATAATTTTAAAAGGGGCACCTGGGTAGCTCAGTCAGTTAAGCATCTGACTCTTGGTTTTGGCTCAGATCATAATCTCACAGTCATGAGTTCAAGCCCTGAATCAGGCTCCACACTGGGTGCAAAGCCTGCTTGGAATTCTCTCTCCTCCTCTCCTTCTGCCCGACCCTGACTTGTGAACACATCTGCATCTCTCCTTCTCTCTGTCCCTCTCAAAAAATAAAAAGACACAATCTGCAAAAATGAGTATAAAGATAAAGAATATTATTATCACTCCAAGAAGTGCCCCTTTCCAGTTAATCTAGGGCTGCTTCTCACACAGGGAACCACTGGTCAAACTTTTCCCACCTCAGATTAGCTTTCCCTGAACTTCACATAAATAGAAATTTATTACTCTTTTCTGTAATTTGTATGTACTTTTTTCACTCAGCATAAAGTTTTTGAGACTGATCTACCACACTGTATCAGTAGTTTGTTCCTTTTTATTGTTGAGTAGTATTTCATTATGGGAATATACTACATGTTTGTTTATCCAATCTATTATAGACACATTGACTGTTCCCAGTCATTAGCTATTCTAAATACTTTGGCTATTACAATTGTGCTTTACTACTTGTTAGCTTAATAAATCTCCCCCCAATATATCATAAGCTGGTTGACAAAGAGAAAACTTAACAACCAGAGTAACTCATTTACTTTTGATCCTGACCAATTTCAAAAGAACAGTACACCTTGCTTAACATAAATGATCTATTATTAAAATGGTATTCAGTGTTGGTAATGTTCTATGTTCTCTGCTAGTTAACATTACACTATTATATTCACTGTGAACATCCACCAAGTTATGACTACTGATTTGTGCATTTTTCAGTAGGTATAATATGCTTAAATAAAGTTTGTTGAAAATCTGTGTGAACATTTTCTGAGTGGGTTATAGGAGACACTTAACACCTTAGTTTCTGTTATAAACCCTAACCTTTTGTCTGCTCCATCCAGTGCTTAGTAATATATTAACCCCTAATCCTAGGAACTTCTCTTTAAAGTAGCTGTAAACAACACAAATAAATGGAAAGATATTCCATGCTTATGGACTATAAAAACCAATATTGTTAGAATTTCCATACTACGCAAAGCAGTCTATAGATTTAATGCAATCCCTATCAAATAACAAAAAGCATTTTTCATAGAACTAGAGTAAATCATCGTATAATTTGTGTGGAACTACAAAAGACCCAAATAGCCAAAACAATCTTGAATAAGAAGAAAACTGGAATTATTACAATCCCAAATTTCAAGATATACTATAAAGCAGTAGTAATCAAAAAACAGTATGGTACTGGCACAAAAACAGACACATACATGAAAAAAAACAGAACAGAGAGCCCCAAAATAAACCCATGATTATATGGTCAATTAATCTTCAACAAAAGACACAAGAATAACCAATGGGGGAAAAAACATTCTCTTCAACAAATGGTGCTGGGAAAACTGTACAGCTACATGCAAAAGATTAAAACTAGACCACTTTCTTATATCATACACAAAAATAAACTCAAGATGAATTAAGGACCTAACTGTGAGACCTGAAACCATAAAAGACCTGGATAGAACAGAGCACAGGCAATAATTTCTCTGACAACACCTTTGTAGATAGATCTCCTGAGACAAGGGAAACAAAAACAAAAACAAACCACTGGGATTACATCAAAATAAAAAAGTTCTTTCTGCACAGCAAAAGAAACAATCAGCAAAACTAAAAGACAATAAAGGGGAGAAGATACAAGTGACATATCTGATAAAGGATTAGTATCCAGAATATATAAAGAATTGGCCCATCTATTTCTTATCTATAAGAGACCCATTTTAGACCTGAGGACACCTTCAGACTGAAAGTGAGGGGATGGAGAACCATCTATCATGTTACTGGGAGTCAAAAGAAAGCTGGAGTAGCCATACTTATATCAGACAAACTAGATTTTAAACTAAAGGCTGTAACAAGAGATGAAGAAGGGCATTATATCATAATTACAGGGTCTATCCATCAAGAAGAGCTAAAAATTATAAGCGTTTATGGACCCAATTCTGAAGCATCTAAATATATAAAACAACTAATCACAAACATAAGCAATCTTATTGGTTAAGAATTGCAGGAGACTTTAATTCTCCACTTATGGCAATGGACAGATAACCTAGATAGAATCAATAAAGAAACAATAGCTGTGAATGATACACTGGGCCAGATGGACTGACTTGATAGATACATTCAGAACTCTTCATCCTAAAGTAGCGGAATATACATTCTTCTCAAGTGCACATGGAACATTCTCCAAGACAGATCACATTCTGGGTCACAAAACGGCCCTCAGTAAGTATAAAAGAATTGAGATCATACCATGTACACTTTCAGATCACAATGCTATGAAACTTGAGATCAACCATAGGAAAATGTTTGGAAAACCTCAAAATGTATGGACATTAAAGAACATCCTACTAAAGAATGAATGGGTCAACCAGGCAATTAAAGAAGAAATTAAAAAATATGTGGAAACAAATGAAAATGAAAACACAACAGTCCAAACCCTTTGGGATGCAGCAAAGGCAGTCCTAAGAGGAAAATACATTGCAATCCAGGCCTATCTCAAGAAACAAGAAAAATCCTAAATACAAAATCTAACAGCACACCTAAAGGAACTAGAAGTAG